GCTGATAAAGTGAGTTTTGTGTTTGTTTTATTTGATGTCAGACAGCTTCACTGTGGCTCATCATTGTAATTTGTATTCCTCGTGACTTCTTTTTCCTCCTATAGTCAGTAAAAAGACTGATTGCAACAGAAGCTGAGCTGAAGCAGTGGTCGACAGTGGAACCACAATGTAAGTTATCAGTTCTGGTCAACTGGTGATTTCAGGTTTCTAAAAAAAAATAAAGAAATAAATCATAAATGTTGTGTACTTTATCTTTTAATACAATTGACCTTTTTTATTTTTCATGCAGTGCTGGCAGAAAATCCAGAGATTTTGCTCGAAGCAGGAAAAGAAGAGGTGTGGTTAAGTTAAACAGTGAACTATTGCTTTTGCTCATTTACATGCATCACTCACTTTATGTAATCTTTACTTTTTCCATAGATGCACAAGCTGTGCTCTGAACTTGAGATGGTTGCTTCCTGTTATGAAGCCAAAAGAGACAAACTGAAAGAGACTAGGGAACTGTATGTAACCCTTTTGTTACACTGTACATATTACATTACTTACTGTCCTTCTTCTGGTTTTATGGATGCCTTTCAGGATTGAATGAAGGAGACCATCCAGAGACTTTCCCTTTGCTATACTTTGTGTATCGTTGTGAAAATGTGATGCTTGTGTGTTTTAGTGAGCTAAAATGGCTGGAGGAGAAGAAACAGGTGCTGGCTGCCGCCAGTGGTCACAGTAAACGACTTCAAATTGAAAAGGAGAAGTTGTCAGAACATACGTGAGTAGGATTGCAGCGTCACACTAAACCAAAAGGGGTCAGGTGTTTATTTACACAGAATAGAGCAGAAAACAGAAATGCTTCAAGGGTAATATAAGTTAATTCAGTTGAATTCAATTTTATTTATACAGCGCCAAATCACAACAGCAGTCGCCTCAAAGGGCTTTGTATTGTAAGGTAGACCCTACACTAATACATACAGAGAAAAACCCAACAATCGCATGACCCCCTATGAGCAAGCACTTTGGCGACAGTGGGAAGGAAAAACTCCCTTTTAACAGGAAGAAACCTCCGGCAGAACCAGGCTCAGGGAGGGGCGGGGCCATCTGCTGCAGCTGGTTGGGGTAACAGGAAAAAAAAGACATGCTGTGGAAGAGAGACAGAGATTAATAACAAGTATGATTCATTGCAGAGAGGTCTATTAACACATAGTGAGTGAGAAAGGTGACTGAAAAGGAAAAACATCATGGGAATCTCCCAGCATCCTACGTCTATTGCAGCATAACTAAGAGAGGATTCAGGATCACCTGATCCAGCCCTAACTATATGCTTTAGCAAAAAGGAAAGTTTTAAGCCTAATCTTAAAAATAGAAAAATAAATCTTATAAACTTAGAAGAAGAGTAAAATGTTGATGCATGTGCATGCATTCTACAGGATACTGCAGGACATCAAGGAAAAAATACAGAAAATGAAGGTCTACCAGGAAAGCCTGATGGAGAGCTTGGGGTACATCCTGGAGAAGCACGTTCCTCTCCCTCGGGAGGATTCCAGTACAAACAAGAAGAAGAAGGTGTAGATTATGGCTTTGCATGTGAAAAGTGCCTTATTATGAATTCATTGCACCTTACAGTCTTTTATCTTAATTTTCAGAACGTTCCTCATGAGATTCATGAAAACTTGATTTCACTCAATGAAATTCTGGAGGTGAGTTTTCTCATACAAAAAAAACAAACTGTTTAACTCGAGTTTTTTTATGTAATTGAAAAAAAAATCTCAGTCTTTGGCTTTGGACATGTAGGTGAATGAAACAGGTGATGAGGTTTGATATTGAGAAGAGAAATGTGAAAGGAAAGATGGACCGCATAGAGGCCCCTTGTGTTGGTGTCAGGGGAGAATGTAGCTTGGCAGCATTGGATGGTAGTCTGTATGATGACTTTGGGCATGAAGAAGAGGAAGCGAGTGAAGGGAAGTTGAAGTTGAAGAAGGAAGAATGTTGTGGAGAGTGCAGGAAGGGGTTGAGGCAGGCTGTCAGTGGTACGGAAGTGTTGCCAGATGGCTGGGGGAAAATGCCCAAAGGGTATCCTCTGGACAGAAGAAAAAGGACAAGGACACTTGGTTTTGGAAGGAGGAAGTAAAAAAAATCTGTTCAAATGCAGAGGTTAGCAAAGAAAAAGTGGGATAGTCAGGGAGATGAAGAAAATGGATGAGTGCTGGAAGGTTAGCAATGAGAGAAGTGGCAAAGTACAAGGCTTGAGTTATATGTGAGGCTGGACACTAAGAAAGGTGAAAATGACTTGTATGAAGCATGTGATGTGATATGTAAGACGTTATCACAGAAATGGAAATGTGCTAGCAAGTGAAGAGAGTGTAGTGAGCGCCTGAAGGAGCTCATGAATGAAGAAAATGAGAAAACACAATCCTGAAGAGTAAGAGGATCCCTGAGGAATGAAGTACAGATTTTCAAGTACAAGGGTGATGTGCATCTCTGTAGCAATTATAGAGGGATAAAGTTGATGAGGCATACCTTGAAGATATGGGAAAGTGTTTTCGAAACTAGGTTGAGAAGAGAGGAGATGATTGGTGAGCAGCAGCATGGCTCCTTGACCAGAAATAGCACTACAGAGTCAATGTTTGCTTTTATAGTATTAATGGAGAAATATCGAAGGTCGAAAGGAGTTGTACTGTGTGTTTGTATATCTACAAACAGGGTATGATAGGGTGCCAAGAGAGGAAGTGTGGTACAGCATGAGGAAGTCATGTGAGGCTGGTGCCAGACATGTACGATAACAGCCAGACTTTGGTGAGGTGTGCGGTAGGAGTGAAAGATGAGTTCAAGGTGGGGTGAATTACATTAGGGAATGGCGTAGTAAAACATTAGGCAGGAAAAAAAAAAATTCATCCCAATATTTGAAATACTTCTGTTTTGAAGATAGCTTCACACATAGTGTTTCTTTTTTTTTACATCAACCACCGACACTTTTGTATGTGACTGAAAAGTATCCTGGATATTGAGATAAATGATAGATTTTGCTGAAGATAATTTAATTATCTCTGATAAACCCCCCCCCCAGTTATCAACCTCGAGGAAAGAGCTGGCACTCCACCAACTTTTATGGAAAACATATCCTAGGAGATGTGGTTCTTTAGCTATGAGTCATTTCTTAATGGCTACTTTTCTTGGGACAATGCTTGATGGTAGCATCAGTGTTGTTAACTCTGTTCAGGTGGATGCCTTTTGAGGTATGCACATAGGAGAGCCATTTAACAAAACAGATATTTGATCTATTATAGCAGAATAAATATGTGTTTAATTATTAACAGCTGCATATTTCTTATGTCGACAAGTCACATGTAAATTAGCCCTACGTTTGTTGGCTGTGGTGGAACTGGAAATTATAAAAAAACATTTTTAATGTTAGATTTTCTATAGAGATGCTGTTTAAGGCCCTATTTTAACCACACAAGTGCAAAGAAAGCGGCAGGTCTGACGCATGTGGACTGTGTGGGTGTGTCATGTTGCTTTTCTTTGTCAAAGTAAAAGGACAAAAAGGCTGACGTAAGTGCTATAAAAGCGAGAGTGTAGTGATTAATCGATTCACAGTAATGATCACCCATGGCAGCAAAAGCTGTTGTGTACCAAAAGGCATGATATCAACTTAACCTTTAGACCTGAGGGCAGCTTTTATGATTTTATTTTTTTCTCTTTTTTTAACTTGTTCTGTGATTGAATGTTTCTGTTCTTGATAATTGTATAAATATCCTATATTTTTGTTAGTGGCCATCACCTATTCCTTCAATAAGTAAAGGAAGTAAAGGCAAAATAAAACTCCAAACTTATAAAACTGTTTAAACTTGTACCTTTACTGCAAATATGCTTCACCCTGGTCTTCATCTCCCTTTTTATAAACCTGCAGATTCTCATGAACAAGACTCTGAACACACCGCACGACCCCTATGTGGCAATAGATGACACATTCTGGCCACCGTATGTAGAAATGCTGCTCCGTTATGGAATTGCAGTGAGACACCATGAGAATAACTTTAAGATCCGCTTGGAAACCTTTTTCTGAAGCACTGGTGCATTAAAAATGTAAAGCGCTGTGCTGAAACTGAGTCTGCTTGTGCAGAGAAATCATTATGCATGTTTTTGTAAGCTAGTAGGAAGTCTATGGTGGAGAAACAGTGATGCTAGGGCGTTCCTGAATTTACTATATGCATGTGTAACATTTCTATGTACATACTTTTTTATGGTTGTCTATTTAGACTTCTTAAATACTGTTTAGTTAAAATGTCTTGTAAGCGTACCTATTTTTCTAGTTCTATTTTTACGTATTCAAATGTTATTCAAATGTATGAGTGTTTTATCCAAAGTATGTGTTTCTAGAAATCCCATGTGTATGTCTGTTTTTCATGAGAATTCATATTTATCAGCATAAATTTAAATGAATCTTAATTTTGGTTTCATTTAACAGTTTTCTATTATGTTTGAAAATTAGGAAAATATGTTCAGTAATGTTCTGTGTGTGTGTGTGTGTGTATTTTGTTTGTGTTTATACATTTTCTTGTCCATGTTTAATAAATTTGGAAACTTTAGATGTGGTGTTCCTATGTAATTATTGTTCCGAAGAAACTATCTCTGGGTATCTTCATACTGTTGTATGAAAACAACTAGCATAATGTAAATGTTTTAGTGAGGTAATCATTTCTTCGTGAAAATGTTTAAAACTATGTTTGTAAATACAAACAATGTACAGAAAATAAAATACGAATTGACAAAGTGAAATCGTGCAGATATTCCACACAATATCTGCAATGATCGATGGTTTCAGCTACCAAGTACTTAAAATACTTAGACGGTTTTTTGTGTTTATTTTTTTTTTAATTGCAGAGATTTGTTTAGGGCCTTGCTTTTAATGCTAAGCTTCCAGTTTCTTGGCGGAAATGTTACAATTATTTCGTCAGAAACGTTTTGCGTCATTCAACGTCACGCCTCCCATCCAATCCGGTGAGGCCGCCGCGTCAGCTATAGAATACCTGTGGGCGGAGAAGCGATTCCGGTTCCGGGTGTTTTCATATCCCAGTCGGAGGCGATCATACCTCTGATTATGCTATTTTATCGGAAACTTTTCTCGATTGACCACTGAATAAATTAGAATTCTTTTAATTAAGATTTCCCGATCAAAGCCGACACCATGGCGACACGCTCGGAGAGAGAGAAGGCCCAAAAACTCAACGAACAGCACCAGGCCATCCTGTCCAAAATGCTGAGAGAGGAAGACAACAAGTACTGCGCCGACTGCGAGGCGAAAGGTGCGGTGTTCGTTTTGTCGGCGATTTTATTGTTTAACTGTACAAAGTTAGCAGTTTCACTCAGAATCAAACAGTAACGATAACTAACAGTATAACATCCGCGCTTCTTAGCTTAGCTTAGCTAACTGGCCCAAGCTAGTCACCTGACATTCTTCCCTTTAAGCTAAACTAAGTGGTTAACCAGCATGCTAACTTCTCTAAAGCTACATAAGCTCCCCACAGGGCTTCTCCCTTGTCGCCGTATGCTTAGTTACCGGAATTTGCAAGCAGTAAACAAACTGTGTCAGGTCTTTCTAAGAAACTTCAGCCAACTTTTTTTTAATTAGATCATTGACAAAGAATGTAGAACTTGCATCCTACGTTTCAAGTCACAACAAAGACTAGCATGTTTGAGTGTTTCTTCCGGCGTTTTTGTATGTTCACCTCCCAAACTTGGTTGAACTGTCATTAACAGGTCCAAGATGGGCATCCTGGAATCTGGGGGTATTTATCTGCATCCGATGTGCTGGCATCCACAGGAACCTGGGAGTGCACATATCCAGAGTGAAATCAGTCAACCTGGACCAATGGACAACAGAACAAATCCAGGTACTGATTTCTTGTTTTTGCACTTTTCCTGTGTGCATTACTGAACTGACCTACCGGACAGTAGCCCTGGGGGCTGAGAGGTCAAGGGACTCTGGGTCTAAGTCCCTCTTTGGACTGATTTGCTTACTGGCACAACATGAATACAAAAAATGCAAAACAGCTTAAAGGTGTACCATAACGTCTCTACACTGAAAATAAAGAAGAAAATTAAATGAATACAAGAACTGAATGCATTTCTCCTTTTTTAAATGTGACATTTAAATGTCTTTGCCAAGTATTCTGTTATTGGCTCTCTAATCCTTTTTTATGTACAGTAAGCATAAATATGGTTAGAAACTGTGAAATGTTTTTTGGATTGGGCATATGTGTTCTCCACTAAATGTAACCTTCCTCAATGGTTTAGAGCTGTTACAATATTGCTGATTTGTCATTTGCACTTCAGTAAACTTGGCCAGACACAAAAACAGGAAATTCTGTTCAGTGGCTAAAGACATCATTTGTTGTCCGTAATGTGGGTCAAGCTTTAATTTTCATTATGCACTATCATCAGGACTATCAATACCCTTCATTTATGTCATTTAGAATTTACCTTAATAACCACGTTTTAAACTGCAAATTACTGTACAAGTGAACTTGCTGTCATACTAACAACTAGTTGACATTTTAATGACAGCTTCAAAATACCCAGGCTTGTGTTGTTAAATACTTAATTGCCAGGAATATTGAAGAAATATTGGTGTCAAACATCAGTCAATGACTAAAACCAAAACTGATTGCAGTATTTTTAACCGTAACAATATAAACTATTCAGTCAAACTGCATAAGTTGGCTTATTACCTGGAGGCTATTTTCTCATATCTGAAAAGTGCCACATAAGGTATTGTACACCCATTTTTATCTGTTGTGCCATATTTGTTATGAGCGAACCTATCATGTGTTTAGTCAATTGATTGCCCCAATGAAACACTGTATCCTAACATTATCCATTTTGTTTACATCTTTGTCTGCTCCTCAGAGTATACAGGACATGGGTAATACCAAGGCCAGGCGGCTTTATGAGGCCAACCTTCCAGATAGCTTTAGAAGACCTCAAACAGACCAGTATCCTTCGCTTAGAGCAAATCCACAAATGTAACAAAAAAGTGCCATGCAGCATATGTTTAACCATTTTTTCCCTTTTCTTGGAGTTACATTTTTTTCTTAACCCTGACCTCAGAGCAGTGGAATTCTTCATCAGGGATAAATATGAGAAGAAGAAATACTACAGCAAGAATGTGACCAATGGCACCAGTGTATGTATCGACGAAACATTTCATGAAATTATTCATTTATTGTACTATTTTCTAAGTTTAGTCTGTTCTTGGAGCAAATGTAACCCACATAATTTCCTTAGTTAATAATAAAGTATTCTGATTCTGATTTAGATCTTCATAATGGTTTGTACTCACTCATTCTTCTTTCTTTTATTCTTTTTTTTTATCAGCCAAAAGATAGTAAGAAAGAAAGGGAGCCCGACAGAGGAAGCAAGGTGTCATCTTACACCAAGGTAAGTCTCACATGTATTTCAGTAATAATAAAGCTGTCTCAATATGCCCTTTAGCATTGTTTTCCTATCCACACTAAGTTTGTTCTGCTTTTGAATTTTACAACCATTTCATTTTTTTAAAGAGTGAAGAGTCCAAGCCAGTTCCCAAAATCAGCCCTGCTAAGACTGCAGAACCCTCTGTGAACCTACTAGGCCTTGGTGAGTGTGAAAATGATTAGTTTTGCCAGAGGTCATCCTTATTGGGGGATTTAGTGAGAGTAGAATGTGCTGTGGGAAAGTTCTGACTAATATATTGTGTGCAGAATTAGGATAATTAATATGTCTGAGTTTATTTGTTTTTATTTTTAAGTGTTGATAAGTTTCCAAGGTGATATCTCCATGTAGTACATGACATCTAGCAATCAAAATACACTGTAATTTACACTGTAAAATCACTGTTTATGTGATGGTGGTTACCTCTACACTTTGCTCAGCTCTGCATCTTGATGCTGTGGTGTTACCTGAGATTGTTTACGTTTTGGTTCAGCGTTAAAGATTGTCTCCACCCTTAGCTGTGCCATCTTCTCGTTTCAAACACGTGGCTCTGCATGTGTTTACCAAACAATGGAGGAGAGAGAAAGTACCATATTTAAAGGGTTTGGTTGCGTCACCTATCAGCATATCTGTAACACAGCAACTAAACCATCTCACTTGTAAATGATAGATAGCAACACCACTTGGTCTTCTCCGCTGTCTGTATCAACATTGCGCTGACGTCTTTTCAACATGCTGCTGTTACGTGTGGCTGTGATGTTATTTCTGTTGCTTTCAATTTAAAAAACCACTGCAAGGTTTTTGAGTTGAAAAGAGGAAGTGCTTCGGCTGCTGCAGCAGACATGTAACTTCTTGTTTCTACTTTAAATCTTGATGTTTATCTAGAGTATGACTTTTGTTGGATCAGTATTAAGTAAGTGTAGCAGGAAATGGTAACATTAAATGCTGTTAGGAGAAGGGGCAACACTGGATTGCACAACATAGGTTTTCTTTTGGCTTGATTGCTAGGTCACTTAAAGTAGGTCTTTTAGTACATGCAAGGTTTTCTGGCATGGATAGATTTTAGCATCTTCTTCCAAAGAGCTATTAACTAAAGCACTTTTTTCTTTTGTAGAATTTCTTTTTATTTATTAATGCGTTTTTGACATCTTTGATTTCTCAAATGGTCAGAAATAAAGGAGAATGCATAAACACATACATGTTTGCTTTACAGTATGAGGACAAGCTCTGTTTGCATAAATAGTCACTCCCCAAAAGCTCGTTCTGAGCCAAGAGGAACTCTGATGTGAATGGAAATGGAATGTAGATTTTTCTGTCTTAATGTTCAGCTGCTTTGTTTGAACAGTGTGCGCCTTTGTCATCAAATTGTGAAATCTTCACATTAGTTCTTGCTTTTAAATTTCTGTACTTTATTTTTTTTTTCAGCATTATAGCTATGATTGGTTTTTGGTTCATAGGAGTAATTCATTTTATTAAAGAGGCTTCCTTTATTTACAGTTTAAAGAAGATGCTGTTGTGTTTTTGACTGGCTTAAGGGTTGCTTGCATTATTTGGATATCATGTTTACTGTTATTTTTCTTCTGTGGCTAGTGAGCTAAATGGGCTAAGCTGATTAATTTTTTATTGCGCTAGCTGTTGTTCTCCCTGCGTGGGCAGCTTTGTAGCTGTGGGAGGTTTTTACAGTTGAATATTTAAAAAAATAAAAGAAAACACAATTTCGTGAAAGCAGTTCTGTTCACTTTTAACACCCTTTCTATGTCAATTAGCCTGTTCTATAAGGATTATATTCCTGAACTTTAAATAAAGATCTTTTAATTAATGCAGACCACAATCAGGAAATGGTCAGTGGGTAGTGGGAACTATTATTTCCTGATGTATTTTTTTTTAAGTTCCACCTGTAAAACTAATTTTTCCTTTTTTCTGTCACAGACGCACCAGCAGCTGCATCAGCTAACAACGGTAGCACGAGCACAAGCCAGAACAATGACCTGGATATATTCGGCCCCATGGTCTCCAATCCCCTGCCCTCATCCACATCCACAGCTCAGTTTTCTCAGGTAAAATTGAGAAAGCATTTCCCAGTTCAGATTTAAATCCAAATTCCGATTATTGCTCAGCGGGGCTTAACAGTCACTGTTGCCTGGTTGTAAAACTGAAATTAAATGTGCAGTAAAAAATAAAAAGGCAAATGATAACCATCAGCGTCAATAGCCCACATGACAGCATCACCAGTACTGAGAGACGGTGAGTTTAAATGAAAGAGAGGCAGAAACACACTTCAGAACATGAATGCAGTAAATCAGGCACTCTTGACTTAACATTGAAATGGGGCTTAATGCAGTGTTTACTTTTATTATCACCGCATTCATTAATTTTGATTAATCAAAGAATTTACCAGTTAGGTATAAAATAGTTATTATAAATAATTATCTTTTGTTTCCTATATTACAGAGACAAAGCCTTCAGGGGGTGTCGGCTACTAACATCTCACTAATAGATCACAGCTGAATTATTCAGAGTAATCATGCAGGATAGGCCCATTTTGTATTTATGATCTACATTTATACAAAGCTAAAAGAGGCCCCCCAACAAGACTGCCCAAACAGTACTGTTATTGATAGATCTACTGCTGTTTGGTAATGGTAGTTGTCTGCTAATTTGTAATATTGTACAGCACACAATAAAACCGTGTGAGCCATAGATTTGTCACAAAAATGGGTGCTTTTTTTGTCATCGGACCTTAAATCTTCTAAACATCTCAATCTCTTTCCTGCCTCCAGGTGAGCTCCAATAACTCGGCAAGCACTCCGACACAAGCTCCAGCAGCTGGAGTGTCAGGAGGAGTAGCCAACTCAGGGTCATTACAGGGAGACCTCGACCTGTTTAGTGAGAGCAGTAGCACCACTAAAGCTGATGACGCAGCCAAGAAGCCCCTGTCCAAGGACTCCATCTTGTCTCTGTATGGGACTAACAGCATGTCCCAGCAGCCCCCCACCGGTAAGGATTTACACACAAACTGAAATAACACCAGTGCCATATTGTAAATTCAACCCTGTTACTAAGAAAAATCTATTTTATGTAGAAACAGTCATGCTTAAAACTTTAACCACAACTCTTTTTGACCTATGAGTCCTTTTTAGTTTTTATTGGATTAATTTAGATTTTTCGTGTATTTGTTTGTTCAGATTGACTACATTAGTCTACATTAACAGCTTTAGTTTTGTCACCTAATAGATGCAATTCTTTCCCTGCCATCGATGAGCTAGAAGATGCAGAAACCCTGGATTCTTATTTGTTATTTAAATGCAATGCAGTATTTTCAGGTCATTGATCCACTGAATTGAAAATAAACAGTTTCTTTTTTTTGTAAACTGCCTCCTTTTCCCTGCAGTACCTTAGCAACACACCAGAGGGCCACTGCCCTTGACTAGTACTTTGCTTGTTAAAGTAATGCAAATGTGGTGACATCACATGATCCACAAGGAACAAGTACATACCTGTATTTTGCAGCTCAGTCTCACAGAGCTTTGCTGACTTATCTTCCTGCTTAACTAACAAACTCCTTAAAACACACAAGCAAGTTTTCAAAACAGACTCATACCTCAAAAACTAACTTGTTTTTTTTTTTATGTTCTTGCCTCCTCTCAGCTGGTATGTTCATGGGCCCCTCTCAGATGCAGTTTCCTGTCCAGGCAGCAGCTGGTTACCAGGCCTTCCCTGGTATGGGTACAGCCATGCCACCCACTACTGTCATGGGTGCCATGATGGCTCAGAGCGGTGCACCCATGATGGGGCCCAGTCCAGGAATGATGGTTGGGATGACGATGCCTAATGGCTTCATGGGGAACGCGCAAGCCACCGGTATGATGGGCATGGCCCCCAGGATGATGGGACCACAGGGTGGTGCAATGCCTACAGGCATGATGCCTGCTCAGGGCATGTATGCCATCCAGCCTGGCCAGCAGGCTCAGTGGAACATGGGGCAGGTAAGGAAATAGCTTAGCTGTACTGCAGCATTGTGTGAGGTTATTTAACAAGAGACCTCATGTTAAGACTTGTGCTACTGGTTTCAAGTATGTCACAGTGACAGGAGACTTTTTCTTTCTCAAATGTGACCACACCCAGAAGAGTTGGTGCATTGCACAATAGTCCATTGTGAAGCCCTCTACTGTACAGTTTGTAGAGATAGAGCATCCAGTATTCACTAGATGGCAGCACAAGCATGCAGCAGATTTGTAACTATGCACCAAATCCCTAATATATACTGTAAGTAGTTTAGTTGTAAGTGTGGACACTCAAACTGAAGATAAACTCAAAGCAATCTGTACACATGCTATAAAAATTGCATGCTGTCTGTACACAATTATTTCCCATAATGCAGTGTAAGCAGAAATTGTAGGAGCTGCTCACAGCTATAAAGACTAATCTATTATTAGCATAAAACATTACATTATTTAGAGTTTTATTACAGTTAGCACGCAGGGTGGAATTGGGACACAGTCAGAACTTCAGTAATGAACTACTAGCGGGTGGATGGGTAGTAGTATAATGTTGTCCCAGTTAATCTTCAGTGATTATTTCTAATCCAGGCAAGGCGTGGTAATAAGTCAGATGTAGGTGATCCTGCTCTAGTGTTATTCACACTAACCTCTGTAACATCCCCAGGTGAACCAGCAGATGTCAGGGCTGACTCTGAATGGTGCGGGTGGTCAGATGGCCTTTGGTCAACCTCCGTCAGCTATGGGCGGGTGGGCTCCCACCGGTTCTGGCCAGACTCTGAGCACACAGCTATGGAAGTGAGCCTTCATGCGGGTCGGTGGTTGGGCAGAGTAAAAGTCGAGGTTGCAGGATGTGCTTCTCCGTACCTCACTATGAACTGATGCCCATTTCAATCACGGACCAGCCTTCAGAACATGAAAATTGTATCTCTTTTTTTTTTTCTCTCTCTCCTTCTCCCTTTTCTGTCTCTCTTTCTCTCTATTGTGTGAGTGAATTGGGAGTCATACAGGATTACAGCCTGGCAGTTTCTGCCTGTCGTATGGTTTTTGATCATAACTTTTATTTTCCTTTTTTGGAAAAAATGACAAGGAAACAACAGTCCCATCATCAACATCGACATATCAGAAAAGCTGCAGGACCAGTTAAACAAGCTTTTATTGTATCACTGTATCATTATAAGATTATAGAACATTTAAATGAATAGTATTTAAAGGGAGAAGGGTATGACTATGAGGTCAGTTGACACTGCTCCCAGATGTACAGCGCTGTATAACCTTCTTTTAAAGTACTTGTGGTTCCCCTATAAAATTAAAGTGATAATAAATAATTTCCTTTTACGTGTGTTCTGTAAAACAGATGTCAACATTTTTTTTTTATGTCTCTAATTGGTGAAATGTAATTGTTGCATTTGTTCCACTTTTATTTCTCACATTTGTCTAATATTCGATCTAGTTCTGCTGTGGCCCTAAAAATAAACACAGTGAACTTAATAATCTTCACAACATGTACCTTGGATGCATTCTTGTTAGCGGACTCACACAAAGCACTTTGGCCTTGTACATAGATGAAGCACGAGACTCCCTCTTCACAAATCCACTAGTCTGCATTCCTATAGTGCTTCTCGATCCTGGGCCAAGCATTCAGGCCCAAAGTTCATAAAATCACGAACTAAACTGAAGTTCCTGATTTGATGTGTTTTTGTTACTTAGTCCTTACAATTTTAGGACACAGGTTACATTTATGAATTGTTTTCATGGAGGCAGTTGTTCAAAAAGCGTTGGTTTTTCACACTTGGGTGGGGTTACTGATTACATGCAAACTATTCCTGAGACTAACTGAACCACACCCAGAGCCACCCCTTCAAAATAGACGGCGGGTACTTTGCAAACCAAGAACATCCTCACGTGAGGTGGTTATAATTCAGAACCAGTAATGTACACTTCCATCTTCTTATTGAAGTAATACTTATTGAATCCCTTTTGGGAGTTTCTTCAAACTTGGCACAATAAGTTTTCTCATGAGTTGCTATGACCTCGAGTCACTTGAACTCAGGGTCACTGTGTCTTGAATCTAATTTTTAATAACCATAATTCAATATTTCAAAACGACGACAAAATATCCCACAAATATCTAATTGGATGAACTAATTATATCCAAAAGGTCATGTATCACAGCTTGACATCACATTGTTCTGCAAAAACATATTTCGTAACATTATCCAGAACCTGAAATTGGGAATAGGATAGAAGGAATTTACCATATTTTACATTTGAAGTCATGATACTACCTACCTACTCACGAGTAACTCGAATTTTACTGCTTGGTAGAGACATGTAGCCTCTGGTTGCTATTCTAGTTCCCAACATTGAGAGTATCTGACATTTAGCACAGCACAGCTCTCTAAAAGACTATGCTGCTGCTGTCCTCTAGATGGCAGTGTTGAGACAGTGGAAAGTTTTAGCTGAACAGAAGTATTTCACAGCGACTTAAAAAAATGGGATTTAAGACCCAAACTACACTGCACCATAGTGTGGACCGCGAGTCCCTTTGTGAACCAAAGGCGTTTTTCTGCTATGAGTCACTCCTCCTCTTGTAGAGCAGAGTGGAAGAGGTTCGCTGGACTGTGGTCACATTATTTCAGTAACTTGTTCTCTGTGCACTGCTAGTAATGCCAACACATGGTAGCCCTTCACTTGAGCTAGAGGCTTTTATTTAACAATAGAGCTCTGTATAGCAGCACAATGAATCTAAACCAACACACAAAGCATCTTCAAGTAAGTCAAGTTAGAGCTTGTCTAATGAACACTGATGGATATTCACTTCAGCAACACAATGTAGATGTGACTATGCCATATACTGTATTACTGTTATAAAGTTTAAGTTAGGTGCATGAGAGTAAGTCTCTCAGTAAAGAAGCAACTTCTTACTTACAAAGTGTGGTGGTAACAAGCAACTGGTGGCAGTGTAACATTAATCTTTGTAATAGAAGGCCGAGTTACATGATAAGTCTTTGCCCCAAATCTCCTGTCTTACTATGATAAGCTGTGTGCTTACTATTCTGCGGATATACGCTCATGGTGTAATGTGTATTTATGTATTTGCTTTTATTTATAGGGGATTTAACTTGGTAACTTGCTGAGTTTTCTCCCTTCCTAACATTGCTTGTGCAGTATTACATACAGTATATAAATTTTTTATATAGCTGGTGCAGTGAATGCCCTTTTGTTGAAGTTAATTTGTGGGCCTTGCAGGAGCTGGAAAATCATAGTCAGACTATGTGTTTACATCCAGTACCAGTTTTGTGGGGAAAATATGCTTCAGTCTGCCCCAGAGTAGTTTTGATCAAGTGGTTTTTGTCTTTTTCATCCGGTAGTTATTCCGAGTTTTGTGTTTGTTAAATGGTATTTTAATTGTGTTATTTTCAGTACACAAGACATGTCTTTTGTTTCTCCACCTATTGCATGCTAGGATGTGTTCCTCTGCACATCCACCCAGCTTATGGGAAACTTTTAAAAGTGGATGTGGTTTGAAAAATCAGTTTTACAGTCATTGGAGAAAAATGCTACAGGATCAAAGCTATTCTTTGGCATAAGCTCCCTCTTTCATAGTAGTAAACATGGTTGTAAGCACAGCCTTGCCTAAATAGGTGCATACTGGTCTTCACGCTGTGGCTTATCAAACCAGCTCTACCTGTTAAACAGCCACCATTCAGTTAAGTCGGAAGGATATGTGTCCCTGAAAGGTGTTCAGTGGTGAGAATGTGCTGGAAGCGAATACTCTGCTTGCACAGGATGATCAAAACACTTACAGAGGCTTGAAAAATAACATGTAGCTCATGCTTGACAGGGCTTGAAAGCCCCTTGAATTTGTTTGGCCTTGTTCCACTCTATCTCTCAACTGTTTCTGTGCCCTGCTGCAACTCCAACCCAGTTTGAAAACTTTCACAGTAAGGTCTGATGCCATGAAGCGTTTGAGACCTTTAGCAAAGAGGTTAGGCATTCCTCTCAGCTTGTGTGGCAAACTGTTCCAATGCTCCAGAATAGAGTCCGCCATCCGAGTGAAGAATATTCCGGCTTTCACCAGCCCCTTAATGGACTTTTTGACCCTGAACCATTAACAGTGCTGCCAATTAGTACATCAGGCTGTTTCAGACATCTTTAATACTTAACTAAACATTTTTCTGATAGGAAAGGTTAATGTACTTTAGTTAAATTCCACATTGATATACAGCAGGCCTAGTGAAGTGTTGAATTAACTCTGCTTTCTTAATATAATCTTGTTATCAATTGGGTCAAGAAGTAGTTTTGAAAGGGTGCAGTAAAGCTTCTGTACTACGTCTGTGCTAAATGCCTGCTAGCAGCCAGCTAACTTAGCTAAGCACAAAGACTGGAAACTGCTAGCCTGCCAGTCAGGAAGAAAGCAAAGTGTTTTGTCCAGTGTGATGAATTGCTGTTGACTGTGGAAATTCAAAACTGTGCCAATAGATAAGCTGTTATTAAAAAAAACATAACTACAACTAAAGGTTACTGTTGCAGTTTATGTTAAATGTTACATGCAAGGTATTGTGTGAAGGTGTCTTGTATGGATTAAGACACTAATCGTGATAACGCTGTTCTACCTTCTAGCTAATGTATGATGAAGGGTAAGTTACCGCCTGGATGGGGCACATCTGACTATGAAGCCAAGAGACACTTCATGCTCATACTTTGACTTGTTACTCATGAAGTAGGCCTGCAGTAAACAACTTTTCTTTATGATCCTATTTTTTTTTTTTTTTTATCCTAATAGGGACCAGCATGGACTTCTTTTTAAAACCAAAATAATATTTCCCTTGTAGCAAGTAGAAAACATACGGGTTTAAGATGCTTCCAGATGTCTTCACTTTTCCCTTGAATTAACTTGAATGTTCATCTTTTATATACAGTCTATGATTCAGCGGATGGCGAAATTAGCTTAGCCTTGGCACTCAGCTCCACCTAAAAGCTGGGGTGTCCTTTTCTGTCTAAGTTAAATATTATACCAGATAAGTTGTTAAAACAAGTGGTGAACACAGCCAGAGATGCATGGGAACCACTGTATGATGTGGAAAGGTTTCTTTTACACAAAGAACAAAACCACTAAAGTATTCAGCCAATGCTGACTTTAACAATCAGTTCATTATTAGTTTGACTGAGCAGAATTTCTGTTATATGCCAAGTGTCTTCCTCTTTCACTCTACAAGCCCCAGGCTAGCCTTGAATGGCAAGCAGCCACAACAGCGAGAAATGCAGAAATCCCTGTTTGCAACTTGGCAGCGCTTTTTATGGGGTTCCTTTATGCAGCCACGTGCAGGCAGCTATTAACCTGTTCATGCTGCACATGACATGACAGCTATTTATTGTAACATTCATTGTAAGGTGAGGCTCCTCTACAAAGTAAACCAAATTGCTTAAACACTTCCTCTTCCAGTTATGTGGGAAAGTCAGTGGTTTATAAATCATTCATAAAATTGCAGTAATAATATATAATGTTTGGTCCTCTGTTATAAAGTAATTGATTGTAAAGATTTCGGCCAATGTCATGGCCCACTTGTCCCAGATTATGGAGGAAACTTATATAGACTGAGGGTGATTTAAATTTTTGCAATTCAGCCAACAGTGGATGTCTTCATTACAGCCTACAGCCTCTAGGACACATCCATACATGCCATTTCCAAAAGGTTTGCCGTGTCACCCTGCACAGTTTCAAGACTAAGAAGCACTGCCACAACCATACAAAATGACCTGCAGTCAGAGACCATTGTTTGGTCTGTTACCAGAATTGGCAGGTACATCCCTGAGCACATGATGCATTAACAGGTCAGGAGAAGTTGTGGAGAATGCTCTGCTGCTTACATCATACTTAGCTGGTTTGATGATGGGTCAGTAGATCAGAGCTCTACGGGCTAGACAACAGCCCCCCGACTGCCATTAGGGATCTGGATAAAATCCTTGGATCCATTGACACAACAAGGCCCAACCTCATGTGGCGAGAGTATGCAAGCAGGAGATTTCCAAGGTCAACATCCGTCGTCTCATTAGGAGCACCGACATTGTCAGGCATGCATATAAGCACATGGGGGCCATACAAACTACTGTGTACAATTGTTGCTACAATGAAATTCTGGCAAAATGGACTAGCCCGCTGCTTCATTTTTTCACTTTGATTTTCTTGGTGTCTTTGAATTCAGCCCTTTGTAGATTGATAATTTTCATGTACATCAAATGATGTGAATCATCCTCTTACCCAATCCACGTCCGTATACACATCCAGCATGGTTTTTTTTTCCCATTGAGACCTGATTTTTGAGCAGTATAAAGGATGGGTCTAGTCAC